GTGTGCCGCCTGAACAGAACCATCCAAATCAAGCCAGGCACGTATCCATTTCCACCCTTGGTGTCTTCCGATATTAAAGTGCTCCCCGTTGCCAACGGGCTTCGAGAGCTCTTCCCCAAGGCATTCTCCAACTCCTGATATGCTGATCGCTGTATGTTCTGGGTATTTTGAAGACGCTAAAAAGACAATACAATTGACCATAATTAATGTCAAACTGCTCTTCGCAAGCTATGTACTGGTACTAGTCATATTGTTGGACTTCACGAACGCATACCACACTTCTACCAACCTATCCCACTTGAATAAGTTCCATCTCCTCCTTCTCCATAGCCGATACCAACGCCTCGGTACGGGCTCGAATACTCTCCTCCTGTTGCACCTTATTCTCATATTCTATTCGAGTGTTCTCCAACTTGCGAAGCTGAAACAACACCATACTATTCCTACCAACCCAAGCCTTCACCTTTTCCTCTTCCATTCTCTTCCTCGCGTTATCCCTCTGACTCCTGATCACCTTCGCCCTGCTCGTATTGAGCCCTCTGAACCACGACGCTGCTAACACCACTCTTTCTCCCATATTACATATCCCTGATCCACTTCTCCTGCTTCTGTTGTTGTAACTTCATCTGTTCCTCTCTACCTTCCCGTACAAGATGCCGCTTACTTTCCAACACAGCACCCTTCGAGGCCTGCACAATTACCTCTTGCTATCTCCACCAATTACGGCAAGTCTCACCTCCCTCAGCTGCCTCGCCTTGTCCTTCAGGAAGGCGTTCCGTGCTTGAGTAGCACGAACTGCCTGCCACTGCTTTTTATGCAACTATTGCGACTGCAATTAAATAGCGAGTGAACACCTATATGGTTCACCTCTTCCTTGGCAAGGACTTTGGCTTCATTCTCGGCACGTAGCGTGTTGATCTGCTCGGCTCTGGATATCATAGGTTGACCATAAAGATACAGAATAGGTCTCAGAGTTTACTTTCTACGGGTTTCCTGTATTTTCTTCCAAGCCTTTTCTTCCTCCTGCTTCACAGAGCTATGCGATTAGCAAGCAGCTGAGCATCCAACTCTGTCCTCTTTCGAGACTCTT